TCCTGGGAGTTAGTGGACTGGTGTGGGTCACATCTTGGGACAAAATTGACCTAAGTTGAGGGAAATGCTCTGCATAACAAGGAGCTTTGTATAATATATTATGTCGTTGATGTTAGCTCTGGTCTGCATAAGTTGTACTTAAAGAAATCAAGATTTTATTAATAATAATTTTTATTATTGTTATTATTATTATTAAATCATTATTCACTATATCGTAATGGTTATTGTACACTTGTCTCTGATACACTTGTCTACACACTGTACTACTGTACTCTTATTATTGTACACTTGTTGTCTCTGGTACACTTGTCTACACACTGTACTACTGTACTCTTTTTATTGTACACTTGTTATCTCTGGAGTTTACCTGGAGTTTACCTGGAGAGAGTTCCAGGGGTCAACGCCCCCACGGCCCGGTCTGTGACCAGGCCACCTGGTGGATCAGAGCCTGATCAACCAGGCTGTTGCTGCTGGCTGCACGCAAACCAACGTACGAGCCACAGCCCGGCTGGTCAGGAACCGACTTTAGGTGCTTGTCCAGTGCCAGCTTGAAGACTGCCAGGGGTCTGTTGGTAATCCCCCTTATGTATGCTGGGAGGAGGTTGAACAGTCTCGGGCCCCTGACACTTATTGTATGGTCTCTTAACGTGCTAGTGACACCCCTGCTTTTCATTGGGGGGATGGTGCATCGTCTGCCAAGTCTTTTGCTTTCGTAGTGAGTGATTTTCGTGTGCAAGTTCTGTACTAGTCCCTCTAGGATTTTCCAGGTGTATATAATCATGTATCTCTCCCGCCTGTGTTCCAGGGAATACAGGTTTAGGAACCTCAAGCGCTCCCAGTAATTGAGGTGTTTTATCTCCGTTATGCGCGCCGTGAAGGTTATCTGTACATTTTCTAGGTCAGCAATTTCACCTTCCTTGAAAGGTGCTGTTAGTGTGCAGCAATCTTCCAGCCTAGATAGAACAAGTGACCTGAAGAGTGTCATCATGGGCTTGGCCTCCCTAGTTTTGAAGGTTCTCATTATCCATCCTGTCATTTTTCTAGCAGATGCGATTGATACAATGTTATGGTCCTTGAAGGTGAGATCCTCCGACATGATCACTCCCAGGTCTTTGACGTTGGTGTTTCTCTCTATTTTGTGGCCAGAATTTGTTTTGTATTCTGATGACGATTTAATTTCCTCGTGTTTGCCATATCTGAGTAATTGAAATTTCTCATCGTTGAACTTCATATTGTTTTCTGCAGCCCACTGAAAGATTTGGTTGATGTCCGCCTGGAGCCTTGCAGTGTCTGCAATGGAAGACACTGTCATGCAGATTCGGGTGTCATCTGCAAAGGAAGACACGGTGCTGTGGCTGACATCCTTGTCTATGTCGGATATGAGGATGAGGAACAAGATGGGAGCGAGTACTGTGCCTTGTGGAACAGAGCTTTTCACCGTAGCTGCCTCGGACTTTGTTGACGACTACTCTCTGTGTTCTGTTAGTGAGGAAATTATAGATCCATCGACCGACTTTTCCTGTTATTCCTTTAGCACGCACTTTGTGCGCTATTACGCCATGGTCACACTTGTCGAAGGCTTTTGCAATGTCTGTATATATTACATCTGCATTCTCTGGTACAATTCAGTTTACAATAAATATTAATATTTCTTTTCATTAACAATGTCATTGTTTTTGTTTACTAATATTTGTTAATGTTCATTATCTGTTTATTAAGACTTTATCTTATTTTTCTATTATTTAAGCATAATAACAATGTTTTACTTATTTTTATGTTTAATTTACAGATAGACTGACAGTCACTAGACTGATGTTTACTTTGTAGAAGACAGTCACCTTCTATATTAACATTACAGTTTACAATCTCCTTCTATATTAACATTACAGTGTACAGACTCCTTCTATATTAACATTACAGTGTACAGACTCCTTCTATATTAACATTACAGTGTACAGACTCCTTCTATATTAACATTACAGTGTACAGACTCCTTCTATATTAACATTACAGTGTACAGACTCCTTCTATATTAACATTACAGTGTACAGACTCCTTCTATATTAACATTACAGTGTACAGACTCCTTCTATATTAACATTACAGTGTACAGACTCCTTCTATATTAACATTACAGTATACAGGTAGCTGCTGTATTAGCATTACAGTATACAGACTACTGCATTAACTTTACATTATACAGGTAGCTACTGTATTATTATTACAGTATAAAGGTAGCTACTGCATTAAGATTACATTATATAGGTAGCTACTGTATTAACATTACAGTATGCAGGTAGCTACTGTATTAACATTACAGTATGCAGGTAGCTACTGTATTAACATTACAGTATGCAGGTAGCTACTGTATTAACATTACAGTATACAGGTAGCTACTGTATTAACATTACAGTATACAGGTAGCTACTGTATTAACATTGCAGTATGCAGGTAGCTACTGTATTAACATTACAGTATGCAGGTAGCTACTGTATTAACATTACAGTATGCAGGTAGCTACTGTATTAACATTACAGTATGCAGGTAGCTACTGTATTAACATTACAGTACGCAGGTAGCTACTGTATTAACATTACAGTATGCAGGTAGCTACTGTATTAATTTTACAGTATGCAGGTAGCTACTGTATTAACATTACAGTATGCAGGTAGCTACTGTATTAACATTACAGTATGCAGGTAGCTACTATATTAACATTACAGTATGCAGGTAGCTACTGTATTAACATTACAGTATGCAGGTAGCTACTGTATTAACATTACAGTATGCAGGTAGCTACTGTATTAACATTACAGTATGCAGGTAGCTACTGTATTAACATTACAGTATGCAGGTAGCTACTGTATTAACATTACAGTATGCAGGTAGCTACTGTATTAACATTACAGTATACAGGTAGCTACAGTATTAACATTACAGTATGCAGGTAGCTACTGTATTAACATTACAGTATGCAGGTAGCTACTGTATTAACATTACAGTATGCAGAGAGCTACTGTATTAACAATACAGTATGCAGGTAGCTACTGTATTAACATTATAGTATGCAGGTAGCTACTGTATTAACATTGCAGTATGCAGGTAGCTACTGTATTAACATTACAGTATGCAGGTAGGTACTGTATTAACATTGCAGTATGCAGGTAGCTACTGTATTAACATTACAGTATGCAGGTAGCTACTGTATTAACATTGCAGTATGCAGGTAGCTACTGTATTAACATTACAGTATGCAGGTAGCTACTGTATTAACATTACAGTATACAGGTAGCTACTGTATTAACATTACAGTATGCAGGTAGCTACTGTATTAACATTACAGTATGCAGGTAGCTACTGTATTAGCATTATAGTATGCAGGTAGCTACTGTATTAACATTGCAGTATGCAGGTAGCTACTGTATTAACATTACAGTATGCAGGTAGCTACTGTATTAACATTGCAGTATGCAGGTAGCTACTGTATTAACATTACAGTATGCAGGTAGCTACTGTATTAACATTGCAGTATGCAGATAGCTACTGTATTAACATTACAGTATGCAGATAGCTACTGTATTAACATTACAGTATGCAGGTAGCTACTGTATTAACATTGCAGTATGCAGGTAGCTACTGTATTAACATTACAGTATGCAGGTAGCTACTGTATTAACATTGCAGTATGCAGGTAGCTACTGTATTAACATTGCAGTATGCAGGTAGCTACTGTACTAACATTACAGTATGCAGGTAGCTACTGTATTAACATTGCAGTATGCAGGTAGCTACTGTATTAACATTACAGTATGCAGGTAGCTACTGTATTAACATTGCAGTATGCAGGTAGCTACTGTATTAACATTACAGTATGCAGGTAGCTACTGTATTAACATTACAGTATGCAGGTAGCTACTGTATTAACATTGCAGTATGCAGGTAGCTACTGTATTAACATTACAGTATGCAGGTAGCTACTGTATTAACATTGCAGTATGCAGGTAGCTACTGTATTAACATTACAGTACGCAGGTAGCTACTGTATTAACATTACAGTATGCAGGTAGCTACTGTATTAACATTGCAGTATGCAGGTAGCTACTGTATTAACATTACAGTATGCAGGTAGCTACTGTATTAACATTGTAGTATACAGGTAGCTACTGTATTAACATTACAGTATGCAGGTAGCTACTGTATTAACATTGCAGTATGCAGGTAGCTACTGTATTAACATTACAGTATGCAGGTAGCTACTGTATTAACATTGCAGTACGCAGGTAGCTACTGTATTAACATTACAGTACGCAGGTAGCTACTGTATTAACATTACAGTATGCAGGTAGCTACTGTATTAACATTGCAGTATGCAGGTAGCTACTGTATTAACATTGCAGTATGCAGGTAGCTTTTGTATTAACATTACAGTATGCAGGTAGCTACTGTATTAACATTGCAGTATGCAGGTAGCTACTGTATTAACATTGCAGTATGCAGGTAGCTACTGTATTAACATTACAGTATGCAGGTAGCTACTGTATTAACATTGCAGTATGCAGGTAGCTACTGTATTAACATTACAGTATGCAGGTAGCTACTGTATTAACATTACAGTATACAGGTAGCTACTGTATTAACATTACAGTATACAGGTAGCTACTGTTTTAACATTACAGTATACAGGTAGCTACTGTATTAACATTACAGTATACAGGTAGCTACTGTATTAACATTACAGTATGCAGGTAGCTACTGTATTAACATTACAGTATGCAGGTAGCTACTGTATTAACATTACAGTATGCAGGTAGCTACTGTATTAACATTACAGTATATAGGTAGCTACTGTATTAACATTACAGTATACAGGTAGCTACTGTATTAACATTACAGTATACAGGTGGGTACAATGAAAGTTTTGCTTCAGTAAAGTTGTGTTTAGCTTAATTGTTTAAGTTTTTTCTGTATTAAGTATTAAAATGACTTATAATTTTTTTCAGACTTGGAAGTGAGGTTCAGAAAAGTCGTAAAATATTTGCCTGACCTCTTTGAGGTGTATCAGATGACTCAGCAACTTTCCTCAGACGATGAAGATGTGAAAGTTTTGCTACAAGAGAAAGTCTGGATAACTTTTCCAGGAGCAGAAAGTCTGGATAACTTTTCCAGGAGCAGAAAGTCTGGATAACTTTTCCAGGAGCAGAAAGTCTGGATAACTTTTCCAGGAGCAGAAAGTCTGGATAACTTTTCCAGGAGCAGAAAGTCTGGATAACTTTTCCAGGAGCAGAAAGTCTGGATAACTTTTCCAGGAGCAGAAAGTCTGGATAACTTTTTCAGGAGCAGAAAGTCTGGATAACTTTTTCAGGAGCAGAAAGTCTGGATAACTTGCCTGTGTTAGGAAGTCTGGATAACTTGTCAAGGCCAGGAAGTCTGGATAACTAGTCCTGACTATTAAGCCTGGATAATTTGTTCACACCTGTAAGACAATATATCTAGTAACCCAGGATAACTTTCAAACCAGTAAGCCAGGATAACTTTTGCCTACAAGTTAGCCAGTATTTTCCAACCAGTTATCCAGGATAACATCTTCAACAAGTCTGGATGTTTTATCTCTTATTTTCTAATTCATTATAATTTTAAAATTATAAATATTGTTCAATGTTTACTGTGACTCTTGACATTGTCAAGAGTCACAGTAAACATTGAACAATGTCAAGAGTCACAGTAAACATTGAACAATGTCAAGAGTCACAGTAAACATTGAACAATGTCAAGAGTCACAGTAAACATTGAACAATGTCAAGAGTCACAGTAAACATTGAACAATGTCAAGAGTCACAATAAACATTGAACATTGTCAAGAGTCACAGTAAACATTGAACAATGTCAAGAGTCACAGTAAACATTGAACAATGTCAAGAGTCACAGTAAACATTGAACAATGTCAAGAGTCACAGTAAACATTGAACAATGTCAAGAGTCACAATAAACATTGAACATTGTCAAGAGTCACAGTAAACATTGAACAATGTTCAATGTTTATTGTGACTCTTGACATTGTTCAATGCTTACTGTGACTCTTGACATTGTTCAATGTTTACTGTGACTCTTGACAATGTTCAATGTTTATTGTGACTCTTGACAATGTTCAATGTTTACTGTGACTCTTGACATTGTTCAATGTTTACTGTGACTCTTGACAATGTTCAATGTTTATCGAGAGTTTTAGCATTGTCCAGGGTTAAACTATTCTAGTTTGTTAGTTGTTCACACTACTGTTCCCATTACTGTTAATATATCTAATATAGAAAATAAATTCCCATAATTATACTGTATATTTTTATAATGTAAATATATATAATTAATGCATTACTGTTCTAAATTGTATTTTGAATAGAATCAACAGGGTTCCCTTTTGCGCCTGCGCGGATGTGCGGGGGGACAGGTCGACACAGGGCATCGGGGTAGTGGCAGTGTTTTGAATGTAGTGAGGAGGCTGTGAAAACATGGGACCAGGAAATTGGAGTTCACGGCGGCCTAAGGATTAAAATAGGCCTCACTTCATAATAGGAAGTGTCGTAACTGTTCCTGGTGATGAGTGAGGGAACGTGATTTACGGGACCACCGTAATAAAGTGGTAAAATGAGTGTATAATGGAAGGACCGGTGGCGACTGGTGAGTCGCCATGGACTATGTCCCGGGGAAAAATACCCGTGGTTTAATCATCACTCATCGGTCTCAGATCTTAATGGATTGGCCTCCAATATGTATAATAATTAGGAGACATTAAACCGTATGGTGGGCTAAGAAGAAATCAGTGATAATAACACCAAGTTAAGAGAATGTGTGAAGTGAAATGAGTCGCCGTTCTCAGAGTGAGCATCTGTTTATCTCGTGTTCCTGTCTCGAGCATAGTGAAGTTTTTATGGAGTCACGACTTCTAAACCGGGACAAACCAACGGATACCTCGTCCTGCTGGAATAAGAACCGTGTCGGTGTAGCAGGACATCGAAATGTAATGGCGAATGGAGGAAATAAGGAGCATCAGTCACCCACAGTTAAGTAACCCTTCTAGTTATAACAGACTGATACTGGCCAGTTAGGTATGTTGTAATTGGATAGATTGTGGGTGATCCAGCTACATCAAGTGACCACCAGAGAATATCTGGTAAGTGGTGGGATTATGTACAAGTGTTTTTCCTTGATGGATGTATCCATGTGTAACCTACCCCCCCCCCCCCCTTCAATCAGTTAAACTAATATAATCTATACAGTCCACAATTAATTAGTAGCGCCGTACTTGAGGGTGCTACCCAATTTATACTGGTCTCGGATAGATATGGATAAGATTGTGAGGGTCGAGGGGCCACCTACAGTGACCAGAGGTGGTTAAGTTTTCTCACATGTCTACACGGGGTGACTACGGTAAACAATATAGTTGTTGTCTCCCAAGGAGATTACTTGTATGCATGTAATGTTGAGGTATGTACAGGTAATCACCCAAGAAATTTTTCCATATCTGCCATTACTGTTATAATAAGTTAATGTATCTAACATTGCCATTATAACAAGATAATATATCTAACATTAATATATCTAACAAGTTAATATATCTAACATTACTGTTATAACAAGTTCATATATCTAACATTACTGTTATAACAAGTTCATATATCTAACATTACTGTTATAACAAGTTCATATATCTAACATTACTGTTATAACAAGTTCATATATCTAACATTACTGTTATAACAAGTTCATATATCTAACATTACTGTTATAACAAGTTCATATATCTAACATTACTGTTATAACAAGTTCATATATCTAACATTACTGTTATAACAAGTTCATATATCTAACATTACTGTTATAACAAGTTCATATATCTAACATTACTGTTATAACAAGTTCATATATCTAACATTACTGTTATAACAAGTTCATATATCTAACATTACTGTTATAACAAGTTCATATATCTAACATTACTGTTATAACAAGTTAATAATAATGTTTGAACATTGAGGTGTTTTAACTGAATTATTTTACCTAAAATAACTAACAATAATTTAAGAATTAAGAAATATGAATGTTAATGCAATGAAAACTTATTGTAACTTTTTTTCGCAGTGTTACATAATACTGTCCATGTTTACACTGTGTTACATAATACTGTCAATGTTTACACAGTGTTACATAATACTGTCAATGTTTACACAGTGTTACATAATACTGTCAATGTTTACACTGTTACATAATACTGTCAATGTTTACACAGTGTTACATAATACTGTCAATGTTTACACAGTGTTACATAATACTGGCAATGTTTACACAGTGTTACATAATACTGTCAATGTTTACACAGTGTTACATAATACTGTCAATGTTTACACAGTGTTACATAATACTGTCAATGTTTACACAGTGTTACATAATACTGTCAATGTTTACACAGTGTTACATAATACAGACAATGTTTACACAGTGTTACATAATACTGTCAATGTTTACACAGTGTTACATAATACTGACAATGTTTACACAGTGTTACATAATACTGGCAATGTTTACACAGTGTTACATAATACTGGCAATGTTTACACAGTGTTACATAATACTGGCAATGTTTACACATGTTTACATAATACTGGCAATGTTTACACAGTGTTACATAATACTGGCAATGTTTACACAGTGTTACATAATACTGGCAATGTTTACACAGTGTTACATAATACTGGCAATGTTTACACAGTGTTACATACTGGCAATGTTTACGCAGTGTTACATAATACTGGCAATGTTTACACAGTGTTACATAATACTGTCAATGTTTACACAGGGTTACATAATACAGGCAATGTTTACACAGTGTCACATAATACTGGCAATGTTTACACAGTGTTACATAATACTGTCAATGTTTACACAGTGTTACATAATACTGTCAATGTTTACACAGGGTTACATAATACTGTCAATGTTTACACAGTGTCACATAATACTGGCAATGTTTACACAGTATTATGTAAATAATACTATCAATGTTTACACTGTGTTACATAATATTGTCAATGTTTGCACTATGTTACATAATAAAGTTAACGATTTTCTCTGTATTTCATTAAACAGATGTTTATTTAAATAAAGTTTAACATAAACATTTTTACCAACAGTAAACGTTGATGTAGAAGATAGTGACTTACTAAGTAATGACAATTATTTTATAGCAACAGTGACACCACTAACTGTTACTGTTACGACTTACTGGAGGTGATGTCCTGGTAGTCAGTAAATGTGGGGCTGATAGTGCTGTCCTGGGAGACAGTAATGGTGAAGCTGGAGGTGCTGTCCTGGGAGACAGTAATGGTGAAGCTGGAGGTGCTGTCCTGCGAGACAGTAATGGTGAAGCTGGAGGTGCTGTCCTGGGAGACAGTAATGGTGAAGCTGGAGGTGCTGTCCTGGGAGACAGTAATGGTGAAGCTGGAGGTGCTGTCCTGCGAGACAGTAATGGTGAAGCTGGAGGTGCTGTCCTGGGAGACAGTAATGGTGAAGCTGGAGGTGCTGTCCTGGGAGACAGTAATGGTGAAGCTGGAGGTGCTGTCCTGGGAGACAGTAATGGTGAAGCTGGAGGTGCTGTCCTGGGAGACAGTAATGGTGAAGCTGGAGGTGCTGTCCTGGGAGACAGTAATGGTGAAGCTGGAGGTGATGTCCTGGTAGTCAGTAAATGTGGGGCTGATAGTGCTGTCCTGGGAGACAGTAATGGTGAAGCTGGAGGTGCTGTCCTGGTAGTCAGTAAATGTGGGGCTGATAGTGTTGTCCTGGGAGACAGTAATGGTGAAGCTGGAGGTGCTGTCCTGGGAGACAGAAATGGTGAAGCTGGAGGTGCTGTCCTGGGAGACAGTAATGGTGAAGCTGGAGGTGCTGTCCTGGGAGACAGTAATGGTGAAGCTGGAGGTGCTGTCCTGGGAGACAGTAATGGTGAAGCTGGAGGTGCTGTCCTGGGAGACAGTAATGGTGAAGCTGGAGGTGATGTCCTGGTAGTCAGTAAATGTGGGGCTGATAGTGCTGTCCTGGGAGACAGTAATGGTGAAGCTGGAGGTGCTGTCCTGGTAGTCAGTAAATGTGGGGCTGATAGTGTTGTCCTGGGAGACAGTAATGGTGAAGCTGGAGGTGCTGTCCTGGGAGACAGAAATGGTGAAGCTGGAGGTGCTGTCCTGGGAGACAGTAATGGTGAAGCTGGAGGTGCTGTCCTGGGAGACAGTAATGGTGAAGCTGGAGGTGCTGTCCTGGGAGTCAGTAAATGTGGGGCTGATAGTGTTGTCCTGGGAGACAGTAATGGTGAAGCTGGAGGTGCTGTCCTGGGAGACAGAAATGGTGAAGCTGGAGGTGCTGTCCTGGGAGACAGTAATGGTGAAGCTGGAGGTGCTGTCCTGGGAGACAGTAATGGTGAAGCTGGAGGTGCTGTCCTGGGAGACAGTAATGGTAAAGCTTGGAGGTGCTGTCCTGGGAGACAGTAATGGTGAAGCTGGAGGTGCTGTCCTGGGAGACAGTAATGGTGAAGCTGGAGGTGCTGTCCTGGGAGACAGTAATGGTGAAGCTGGAGGTGCTGTCCTGGGAGACAGTAATGGTGAAGCTGGAGGTGCTGTCCTGGGAGACAGTAATGGTGAAGCTGGAGGTGCTGTCCTGGGAGACAGTAATGGTGAAGCTGGAGGTGATGTCCTGGGAGACAGTAATGGTGAAGCTGGAGGTGATGTCCTGGGAGACAGTAATGGTGAAGCTGGAGGTGATGTCCTGGGAGACAGTAATGGTGAAGCTGGAGGTGCTGTCCTGGGAGACAGTAATGGTGAAGCTGGAGGTGCTGTCCTGGGAGACAGTAATGGTGAAGCTGGAGGTGCTGTCCTGGGAGACAGTAATGGTGAAGCTGGAGGTGCTGTCCTGGGAGACAGTAATGGTGAAGCTGGAGGTGCTGTCCTGGGAGACAGTAATGGTGAAGCTGGAGGTGCTGTCCTGGGAGACAGTAATGGTGAAGCTGGAGGTGCTGTCCTGGGAGACAGTAATGGTGAAGCTGGAGGTGCTGTCCTGGGAGACAGTAATGGTGAAGCTGGAGGTGCTGTCCTGGGAGACAGTAATGGTGAAGCTGGAGGTGCTGTCCTGGGAGACAGTAATGGTGAAGCTGGAGGTGCTGTCCTGGAGACAGTAATGGTGAAGCTGGAGGTGCTGTCCTGGAGACAGTAATGGTGAAGCTGGAGGTGCTGTCCTGGGAGACAGTAATGGTGAAGCTGGAGGTGCTGTCCTTGGAGACAGTAATGGTGAAGCTGGAGGTGCTGTCCTGGGAGACAGTAATGGTGAAGCTGGAGGTGCTGTCCTGGGAGACAGTAATGGTGAAGCTGGAGGTGCTGTCCTGGGAGACAGTAATGTTGAAGCTGGAGGTGCTGTCCTGGGAGACAGTAATGGTGAAGCTGGAGGTGCTGTCCTTGGAGACAGTAATGGTGAAGCTGGAGGTGCTGTCCTTGGAGACAGTAATGGTGAAGCTGGAGGTGCTGTCCTGGGAGACAGTAAGGTGAAGCTGGAGGTGCTGTCCTGGGAGACAGTAATGTGAAGCTGGAGGTGCTGTCCTGGGAGACAGTAATGGTGAAGCTGGAGGTGCTGTCCTGGGAGACAGTAATGGTGAAGCTGGAGGTGCTGTCCTGGGAGACAGTAATGGTGAAGCTGGAGGTGCTGTCCTGGGAGACAGTAATGGTGAAGCTGGAGGTGCTGTCCTGGGAGACAGTAATGTTGAAGCTGGAGGTGCTGTCCTGGGAGACAGTAATGGTGAAGCTGGAGGTGCTGTCCTTGGAGACAGTAATGGTGAAGCTGGAGGTGCTGTCCTTGGAGACAGTAATGGTGAAGCTGGAGGTGCTGTCCTGGGAGACAGTAATGGTGAAGCTGGAGGTGCTGTCCTGGGAGACAGTAATGGTGAAGCTGGAGATTTTGTCCAGGTAGTCGGGAATTATACACAGGAAGGAATACACATAAATGACCTCATAGGGGACAGGAGCCGTAGTGGGGAAACAAGTGTAGTCAAAGATAAGATAAAACCAATATTGCAAACTAGAAATACCACAGGAAATAGCAAAGAAGAGGACTCCACTAGCAATAGTGAGGATATGTTACCAAAAAAACAACTGGTGCTAGGGAGGATAGGAATAAGACAGGTAAACATGCACCAACAGGGAATACAGTCACAGAAACCCAAGGCAAACGGAAATAAAGCCTGTGCACATACTATGCACTTGGTATCTGCAGACATGGGAAATCTGGAAATACAGACGGGACGTGCAACTATGACCACCCTAGAAAATGCCGTGCCCATATGACAGCAGGAAAATGCAAACTCCCTTCCTGTAAGCTTTTTCACCCTGAAATGTGTACCTCTTCAGTACAGGAAAGACTGTGCTATAACATAAATTGCCAGGCATACCATCTAAAGGGGACAAAAAGATACAAAACATCCAGGCCATGGGAAAACCTGGGTAGCCACAGCCACTCAAGAGGGAGAGGTTTTTTAGTGCCAGGAATGAAAAAAAAACTGGCAGGAAATGGCAGAAATCGTACACCAAATCCAGTCATTCCTGGAGTGGAACCACAGTCGATGGCCTCCACTCCAAACCAACAGATACAGATACTGATGCCGGAACCCCCCCCCCCCCCAGTACCAACAATACCACCAGTCCGAAGACATTCTTCTTTGCAAGTATACAGGGTCTAAAGCCAGCAACAAACAAAATACCTTTCATCCGTGGACTGCTTGCAGAGGCAAAGGCAATGTTCGCGGCTTTCACTGAGACCCACATAAAGGATCATTTGGACAACGAAATATGGATCCCAGGTTACAACCTAAACAGATGTGACAGAGTGAACAGGCTAAAGGGGATGGGGGGTTGGCCTGTACATTGCAGAGTCACTTGTTTGCACAGAACTGCTTAATGCCTCAAATGATGTAGTGGAAGTTTTAGCAGCAAAATCGAGAACCAGAACCCAGTCATTGTGGTAGTCTACAAGCCTTCGGATGCAACATCCCAGCAATTCCAGGAACAGCTGTTAAAAATTGACCACTGTCTGGAAAATCTTCCAGCTCCTGCACCCAACATCTTGCTCCTGGGGGATTTCAACTTAAAGGCACCTAAAATGGAGGAATACAGCAAATAATATTGTTGCAGTAATAACACCAGGAGGCAGCTCTGATGAAAACTCACACTCACACGAGCTTTTAAATCACTGCACAAAATTCAATTTAAACCAGCAAATAATAGAGCCTACTAGACTGGAGAATACACTAGACCTCATCTTCACTAACAATGATGATATGATAAGAAATGTCACCATATCAAAAACAATATAATCAGATCACAACATAATTGAAGTTCAGATATGTATGCGCGGAGCCACAGACCGACATAAGGAGATTAGTCACGAGGGTGCATTCACCAAATTCAACTTCAATAACAAAAACATAAAGTGGGACCAAGTAAACCAAGTCCTAACCGATATAAGCTGGGAAGATATACTAAGCAACACAGACCCCAACTTATGCCTAGAACAGATGTATGCACAAGGCTTATTCCTCTAAGAAAAAGGAGGAGTAGATGTAAAATAGAAAGAGACAGGCGCTCCCTTTACAGGCGATGGAAAAGATTAACAGAGCGGCTAAAAGAGGTCAATATATCTGAAATGCGTAGGGAGACACTTAAGCTAAAGGAATCTCATAGGAGTCAGGAATCGCGGGAAGAACTAAAAGCCATAAATGAAATCGTAAGAAACCCAAAGTATTTCTTCTCCTATGCCAAATCAAAGTCGAGAACAACGTCCAGTATTGGGCTCCTACTTAAACAAGATGGGTCCTACACAGATGACAGCAAGTAAATGAGTGAGCTACTCAAGTCCCAATACGACTCAGTTTTTAGCAAGCCGCTAACCAGACTGAGAGTCGATGATCAAAATGATTTTTTTATGAGAGAGCCACAGAATTTGGTTAACACAAGCCTATCATATGTTATCCTGCCGCCAAATGACTTCGAACAGGCGATAAAAGACATGCCCATGCACTCTGCCCCAGGGCCAGACTCATGGA